TCCTTCAACCGACAAAGCTTGTTTCTAATTGAGTTTGTGGGAAGTTTGAATGCCAGCCACTTTTATTCCTAATTTGTTAAGAATTCTGCGTAATGCTTCCGAGGTTCCATCCTTGTATGGAATTACTACTGATGATTTAGATTCCTTATTTGATATTATTATTATCATTATTATTGTTATTATTTATCTAATACCCTGCTGGAATGATTGTCAGGTCGAATACATAGGTCAAACCTAGTAGAACAGGCGCAGTCAGTCAGACTAGCTGAGCATAAAAACCTAGCAAAATCTGGATTAGCACACCCTAACAAGATAATAAATCTGGAGAACAGTTCAGCTATAGCACTCACTACATGCAATTACACACAACCATAAAATAGGATGGGATAGGATGACAGCTTTAAAATCTAATGTCACAGGGTATAGGGAGAGATTGATAACAGAAGCTTTGTTTATCAAATCAACTGCAAATACATGTAATAGGAATGATTCATCACCTGTCCCTGATATCTGAAAAATTCTACGTCGAAAACCGACCGACCGACCGACTACCCCAACGACAACAAATGAGAGAGAACAAAGAAAACTATTAAACTTAAGTTTCAAAGTCGTGTGATCACAATTGATATGATTATGAACAATAAATTTTGTTTGAAACGTCATCTAGTGAATAATACTGTTTCACTGTGTGATATTTCTAATAAACAAACTAATATGGAATTTCGTACTACCACAGTGCCCTAGTTTCACACATATCTTAGCATATCATATTGTTATTGCGACTATTAACACTTTTTGGGAATTTTCTCATGGGATATGGTTACTTGTGGTCACATACTTATATGCACTTATGTAAAGCTTAGTAATAGATTCATTGAAAAGAGTCTCTTCACTCTGTTGTGTAACTTTGAAATGAAATGTGCAGGCTGATGTCAGCAAAAGCATTTCTAGAAGGTTGGAGACTTTTATCGACAGCTGCCTTCACTAAGTACTCAAGATCACTAGATGGACAACCAGAAAGAATTAGCAACAGGCAATTTTAGAGACCATCTGACCAAGAAACCACTGTCCAGGAAAATATGCAGAATGAAATACAGACGGTTTCAACGCACATTAAGGGACAGTTCAGAGACGCCGCTCTCCAGGTTCGGCTGAAGCCAACTTCAGACAGTAGGATGAAATGGAGATGTGCTTTAGGAACCTTATGTTCCACGCAAAACCCAGAGAAGTAGCAATATTAGTAACTGTTTTTATGAAGGCCTCAATCAAGTAGTTAATATGTATCACAGTCTACCAAATGATCACAAAAATTCATACATTATCAAAAAACCAATGTCCATTCAATATTGAAGACTTAGTTAAGTAGCACAGATATATTGGTGGAAACGTATTTACATCATCAAATCCTAAGGGAAAGCGTCTATTATTGTACGGGTTTATAAATTCTGAAGTATCGAATTTATTATTATTATTCCCTTGAGTTCCTAGTGGAACATAGGGCTTCGACGGCACGCCTTCACTTGCTTCTGTCTTCTGCTGTACTTTTCACCTGCATCCATGTTAGTCCATACTGTTTCAACTCCTCTTCACACGATCTCCCACTCGCCGCTTCCCGTTTGGGTTCCACTCGACGGCCTGAAGCGCGATGTCACCCAGCGGCCTCCTCAGCGAGTGTCCATTCCATCTCCACTTTCTTCTGCATATTTGTTGAGCGATTGGCTCCTGTTTTGTTTGATCCCATAGTTTCTTGTTGGTGACTCTTTCCGGCCATCTGATCTTGAGTATAGAGCCAGCGAAGACAGTTGTTGATAAAGGTCTGCAACAGGCTGTTGGAAATATTCTTTGTGACCCACCAAGTTTCTGATCCGTATAGAAGAACTAGATCGCTGCTCTCAGTTATCTAGGCAGCGCTGTTTCAATTACAGGTGACAGAACGGATGAGGATGTCAAAACAAGAGTCCTTCCACACTATGAAATCAGTTTTAAAGTCTTCTGCACTAAATCAGCATAAACAGCAATTTTCGGACTTTCCGCACCAATGTTAATTCAGTCATTGCATCTATATGAGTCGAAAACATGGCGTACGGGTCACGATAAGCATTTCCAATAGGTCACTGTAAACTGTTATCGATAGCTGGTTTCAAAGGCTCCATATTGAATATCAGACGGCTGACTAGGAAGAATCAGCAATAAGTAATTCTGAGGACGAACCAAAGGAGAAATTATCTCTCAACAAATACCAAGAGGAAAACGGAGATTGATTGGTCAGTCGAATGATATGGCACCTTCATCACATAGCCTTATTGGATCCCGAATGGAAGTCGACAATAATAATAATGGCTTTATTCCATACAGTATTTGTGGTACAGGTATGGAATTTTCAGCGTGCATTACAATAATGCATCTAATTACCTCGTAAATTTTACAAGATTTTTAAAAATAAAAAAGCAACAACAACAAAAAGCAAATAAGAGAAATAAAAGAAATAAAAAAGAACAGCATTGCATTCACACATTTAAACAATGCACCACAGGATATGAAATATAAAATTAGTGTGTAATAGAAAATGTGAGCAGCAATATAATAGTACCAAAGAAAGGAGAACAAAAGTTAATGGGAACTAATTGTTAGAGTGCCACAGAAAGTTGATCGTGTCATACTTAACAGTTTTCTCATCACATAACAACTGTGTCAGATAAGGCATTGTGGAGTTTTTGTACTTGTTGGTCCTGGCATATAGCCTCTTATAGTTGCTTCTAGTTCTACCAGATGAAATGCGAGGAGAGAGCTGCGTATAGAGAGGGTGTTCGGCGTCTGACAGTATAGAATTCGCTAGTTTCTTACACGACATTATATGTCTATCCACAATGGTGTAAACCAGTTGGTTTAACGAAATCCCACTTCCCCTACTAACAGCTTCTAGTGCCCTACGCAGCAAAGCAAAGTCTTTCTTAAGTAGTCTAGGAAAGATGAATGGGGAGCAGTAAAGAGGGATGGTTAGAACACAAGAGTTGACAAACTGAGAAAGCAAAGACTGCATTATACCAGACTGCCTTAACTTCCTAACGTAGAACGTTAAGCGAAACATCTTTCTAGTAACTAGCAAGATGTGAGAGGACCAAGAAAGATCGGAGGAAATACTCAGTCCAAGGTACTTGACATTAGATGTAGTTTCAACCTCTATGCCATCAATAATAGTGGGACCATGTGAGCTAGCTAGTTGTTGTAGGTCACGTTTTCGTCTGAAAGTGAAATTTACTACCTGACATTTAGACGGATTCAGTTTAAGACCGTTTGAAGAGGACCACAGACTACTTCCGAGAGAAAGTTACTTAATTTGGAATAGTGCGTCATGCGAATTTTAAGTAGAGGGGATCTTGTGAGATTGAAATTAGCGACGATGGGCAGTCATGTTCCCACAGAAGGAAGACAGAAGAATATCTAATGAAGTCAAGGCATGCTTCTAAAGCCTTATATAGCACTTGCAACCCCATGGATCAACAATAATGATAATGTGGTTCAGTGGTAGAACACTCACCTGTCAGGCCCCACCTTTTCTTTAGTTCGACCCCCAACTGAACATTACTACAGCTTGCTTAGATGGTTGAGAATCCGTTATCGAGTAAAAGTTGGGCCTCAGGCTAGCAACTCCATCCCGTAGAAATTAAACCACTGCTACCGAAACTTCAAAGCAACAGCTTGAATCCCTATGTGCTATTGGATATTTCCACTGTATGTCATGCCTTAAACAGATACACAATCCTTCGTAGGGGAGCAATATTACGATGATTAGGCCTACGTCACTTTGGTACTTAGAAAAAAAGCTGTCTGATATCCTCTGAATGAATCTTCAGGTGTACTGATTTAATCCGATCCAAGTATAAGTATTATCGATTTGCATCTGAAGTTTCGCCGTATTTCGTGTATTTTGATTGAACAATGTCCTTAGTAATAAATAAATATTGTCAGTCAGCTTTCCAGCTTATTCACTAAACTTGACGATTCATTATACTCGTTCACCCTGAGTCCATGTTAGACAGATGGAGGTAGTTGGTAAAATTCGATTTGATTGAACACTAGGTGGTAAATGAGTACTTTCATGGGTCTATTCCTTTGTTTGTTGCCAACCGAGTTCTATCAGTCAAGTTTACAGTGTAGCCACAATTGAGTAGTTGTTAGTAGATGGTCGGAAGAAATCGGAAGGAAACCAGACCTGACCTAGGTTTCGAGCTAGTTGGCACTCGTTAGCAAGACATATCTACAACCCTGAAGGTATTCAATTTCTCTTTTTCGATTTGAACCTATTTCATTCAGTCCTATGTATAGCGGCCTCATGACTGATCTCGTGCAGGAATGTACTGGATACTTTGATTGGACACAAGGTAGTCATTAGGGTCATGCATCTGATCGTTTTCTTGGTAGCGCAGAGTGAATTCTCTATGTCAAGTTTGTAATCTGTTCGTCATGCTAGGTGGTTCGTCACCACGGTGCATACTGAATTGTTGTTGTTGTTAGTTGATTGAAGACAAACAGCAGGAAGCCTTGAACATGGGTTTCTTGATTGCTGGCACTCTTGAGTATTTTTCTAGTTTCCAGTGGAAGCTCATTTTGAATTCTCACTACACAGCGTATGATTTTCAAATCTCAATTTTAGTTCTGTGTTTTACCAGTTCACCTAAATTAGTTAACCAGAATTTACGAGGTTTGAAGTAATGCGTCTGTTGGAGCTAAGTTAAACAGCATAGAGTACCGAAAAGGCCGGCTTCAAAGAAACAAAACAGTCAGCCAACGTTTAGACCTCTTCACCGTCTCTGACTACAAGACGCGATGTTTATTTACAAATACTTACACTATCACTACTGAAGATAACGTCAAAGTTTTACTCATAGAAGCATCAGACTTTTGATGAAATAGAAAATAGTTTTTAGAATAAACATTTTATTGAAATATAAGCATACTAAGAATGTAAAAACAAACACAATTTAATCGTTTAAATTTTACTAAACAAGTTCTGACCAGTGTAAAATAAAAATAAATCCAACTAACAACTGTAAGCCAATAAGACAAGCTGCAAATAATAGAAACATTTTTATCATTGGAATGTACTTCTCTGTAGAATCAGGACATCTGAAATTATAAAACAAAAAAATGTTAGAAAACAAAATCAGAGCACAAATGAAATAAAATGATTCTTATCTTTTCTTTGTATACCATACAGAAATAATTTGACACTTAACTAAGTGATGCAATAGGAAATGCTTTAGGGTTTAGTAACTAAAGCCTGTTTAGGTGAAGACACAGATAAAATGCGGAGTCTTCTGGTCACCTGGGATAGTCGTCTTCAAATGTTTAGTAGCATGATGCTACAGGACTGAACTACATCAACTCCTAGCTTGAAGATAGAGAATGAAGTGGTACAGTATGTTGACTAGTTCACCTATTTGGCAAACTGCATCTGTCCTAACGGACTGATCACCGTTGGCGAAATCTCAGCACAGGCACAGGAGGCTCATTTAGCATTTGTCACCTCAGTTCATCTTTTTGAAATAGATGTGATATCCGGCTGGCTGTCGATCAAAGGACGCGTGCGCTGCTCACCAGTTTGCTTCATCTGCCCTTATGGCTGTGAAATATGGTGGAAATTATTGTGGTAAATGAGACGGCTACCTGTTCTTGATCTCATAGGTGTCTCCATTGTATCTCACATGTCATTTGGTATAATAGGGTGAGTAATACTGATGTTGGGTGTATAATTTTAGGGAAGAAGGGTAGGACAGTCGATGAGGTAGCGAAGTTACATCGACTGAGATGGCTAGGGATGCGTTACACATGTTCTGGTCGTCGCCTCCCTCTACGGGAACCAACCACATAGGAAGGTGTAGACTGCAAGACTGGTTTCGGGTCCTTGTGATTTCAAGAAGTGAAGACTGGAGACATTTGCCGATGTGGCTCAAAATCGTGCTGTACTTCAGTGCAGCTGCACTGCAGCCATTTTGCAGCTTTCAGTTCTACTAAATAACATCAGAACTGTAGTTAAACCAGACATACTAATGTTGCATAATGTAGTTATCTGGTGGTCTTCAATGCAGCACATCAGTTAAAAGAAGAAAAAATAAGGAAAACAGACAGCAGTTCATCAAACAAAAGCAAGCCTAGGCCTTCAAGAGTCCTTTGCTTTATTCATAGCGTGGATGCCTCATCGACGTTATATAATCTTCAACCTATAATGTCAACATCTTCCGTAGATATTATTTCAATTCATCAAAAATCTTAAAAATAGGATGGAAGACTAAAAAGACCTACCTACAGAAAGTCTACGTGGAACGGACAGCTTACTAACTTTCACAGTTGGGTACCTCTATACACCAAACGAAACCTGATCTGTTCGCTCAGCTACATAGTTAGCAGAATTTGCACTTCGGATACAAGAGAAGAAGTGGACAATCCAAAGGGAATCCTCATCGAGAATCGTTATCTAGAACGATTTATTGCAAAAGCCTCCCACGCATAGCGTCCCAAAAAAGTCCTCTACATAAACATTCAATTCAATGAAAATTTACTTGCAGAAACATTGAAAAATCGACTGTCCCATTCACTTAAGAAAACCTTCTTTGCAGCTGAACTACGACTAACCTTCTCCACAAAACCTAAGATTCGCATGAATGTGAAGGACAAGCTGCCACTGCTGACCTCATTAATGTATATCCATCTGTTCGTGTGGAGCCAGATGTGTTGGCCGCATCCAGCGTTCGCTATTCAAACGTATCACCCGACACTTACCAATATGGCTTTACAGAGGAGAAAAACGATGCTCCCACAACTCTATCTTGGAACATCTTCCCCCCCCCCCCCAGAACAAACTTCAAAGTTGTCTACAGAATACGAAGTAGTCTTCCTAAAAGTGTACGAGTCAAACTTCTTCAAACTGCAGAAGCAATGACAACCCACTTGCTTAGCCCTGAACTCTGCATACAGAAGAAGTTCGTTCAATCACTACACTTAAAAATAGCAGTTTCTTTACTCAGCTAATTTAAATGACACAGATGGTAAACAGTGTTCGTTAGTATTATCATTAATCATTGATGAAATACATGACTAACGATTAACGCATGACTGATCTTCTTCTTTATTTTTTTTCCAAATCACAGATCACATTTGTATTCAAAACACACAAAAAAAACTATTTCAGCGAAATGGAAATGACATTCCATTTTTCTATAAACATTTCAAAACTTAAATCTACTCTCACTCTATGCCGAGATAAAATGGATCTTATATATATAGAGAGAGAGATAAAGGGAATGATAGAGTAAAATGAACCGCATTCAAAAAATATTTATGAGTGGGATTTACTGAAATGTACAAAAACTTCTTTTAATTTTCTTTTTCTTTCTCTGTAGACTGAAAATGTCAGGGAAAATCATAAATGCAAAGTTGTTGTTTTTTCCTCTTCAATATCGGCAAGACAGAGATCACTGAAAAATCTTGGACAAAAAAACGTTAATGCTATTAAATTAATCTTTTATCTGGTAAACGTTTCGTGAACGTATGGCATTTTATGCAAAGAGTGTGTTTTTTGGAAACAATGTGAAATGTAAGAGGCTGATTTAATGAACGATTGTGATTTCACTTGATATATATCATCACTGAACTGTAGTCGTATATCCAAATATAAAATATATACAAATAGCACTACTACACATCGTCATCACAGAAAGAAGATTAAAATGACAGTCAAACGGCTTTGCACCTCAAATTCATCTACTTTTAAAAGGCCAAGAAGTAATTTGGAAACTACTTCCAAACTACGGCGTGCAGTACCGAACCTTTATTATCCTCAATCAACAGCTTGTTGTGTGACAATGTCACATATCACGTGATACACCAGAGAAAACTCAGTGAGGCGTTTGAAGAACATACAAGAGTAGGACAAGCTGGCTGTCTATTATCACTGATGTTACTCTTAAATGTGGTGAACTGGATTATGCGTCAGACTGTACATATGGAATGAGAAGACAGGAATACTTTTGACTCTAGAAGATCTGGATTTCACAGCAGATGATTTATGTCTAATTTCACACAGACTCGAAAACGTACAGGAGAAAACCAACGAAATGCATGAAGAAACAGGACATGAAGACAGGACTCCAAATGGTGAACATAGAAAAGATAGAGGTGATAAAGATAACCAACCAACATCGATACCGACAACCAACACCTTTCACCATCAGCGGGAGAGATTTGACACAGGTTAACTCTTTCACTTATCTAAGAAGCATAATTGCAACCAAAGACCAGAGGAATGGATGGAGTTGTGAAATCCGGTCAGGATCAAAAAGGCGACAAATACCCTCATCAACCTGAAGCCATTTCGGAAATCTTCTGAACTAACTCAGCATAAACAGCAAGATTCGGATTTTCAGCACAAATGTTTAGTCAGTCAGTTCTTCTCCACGGGTGAGAAAACTGCACTGCGTGTCACGAAAAGTATTTCCAACAGACTGCGGACTTTCATCAACAGATGCCACCTTCGCCGGCTTGTTTCCATATTGAAGATCAAATGGCTGACCAGAAAGAACTAGCACCAAGAAACTCTGACTGAGAACACACCAATGAAGAGCTAATTGCTCAATGAATATGTAGGAGAAAATGGAGATGGATTGTGTATACATTGAGGAGATAGCTGAATGAAATCGCACTCAGTGCAGGTCATCGCTTGATTGGCATCCCAATGGGAAGCGATGGATGGGTCGTTGGTGTGAGGGTGACATGGACGATATTGTGTACTGTAGAGGAGATGAGAGATTATTTGCAGCCGTGGATCGAGCTGAAGAAAGTGAAACTGTGTTGCTGAATCCTTATGTTCCACTTGGAACCCAAGGAAATAATAATAATACAGAGGCATGGTGATAACAGACGGAGAAGAATTCTTTTCTACTCTCTTAGTTATGTGTTTAGACATGAATTTTGCAGGGTAGCTGTTTTTAATTAACTTGCCGTATACAACTTTAAATTCGTCAACTACTGAACAAATAGCTCCAATCTTACAGCTGAGGGTTTTTACCGAATTTCTTCTATACGAGATAGAAACAAAGCTACAAAAATGTGTGCGTCGACTGGTCCAAGAACCTTTTTTATGCGAATTTCTTTTTTATGCTGTCACCTAGTCTCCTTGTCAGTGGGCCATATAAAAAGGCAATTTTACTTTGGGATTCTCCTTCACACATAAATTTGATAGCTGAATGTGTACTTCACTGAAGTGAGGTACTATTGAGTTCCTGTACATATCATCTTTACGAATCATGAAGGCATCATTCATATTCTGGCAATAAAATGAGACTTTTCTGATAAGGTTATTCAAGGAATCATATTCTAGTTGATGCAGAAAGAAATCTGCGAACTCAGGATCAACCAATGGTGGAAGGGGGTGGGCGCTATTGCGACTTCATCCAACTGTCCATAGAGTTCACTATTAAATTCAAAATTCACAATCATGGAGTGCTTTAGTATCAAACATTCAAGGATTTCTACGGGGATCCAAATATTCATAGACTTTTTATTTATGTGTTCACAGATGCAAACAACCTTTTCATAGAATTTTTTAATCCTTCACGTTCCTAGTGGAACATAGGGCTTCAAGCAAGAGGCTTGAAGGATGGGGTTCCTAGCCTCATACCCAACCTTCCATCTTTACCAGTCTTATTACTGACTTAGCGAGGTATAGGAATGCGTCGGCCGTGGATTGAACCCCCGACCATGTGCATGGTCAGCGAGCGTCCTAACCGCTCTGCCACCAACGCATGCCTAACTTCTAAAAGAATTTAATTCCAAAGGAAAATACACGAACGAACTGTTAGGCATTAGAACTTATGGGCTGACCACTGACTTGAGTCCCAGTGGCTTAAAGTTTCCACGAGCTAGTCATGTTACCCGAGGGTCCTTAGCTGGAACCTAAGTGAGTTCGTACTCCCGATCTATATATATATATCTCAAATGGGACGCATTATTCACCCCGGAGCCTATTTTTAGCTGCCACCTCTCATATCACTTAAAAGGGTTGATTTCATTTAGAATAAATTAAACTCAATTGTCCAATTCTTTAAAACTGTATGTATTAAAACAATCTTCAGAGCTATTCTCTAACATGCAATAACATGGTTGCTTATAATTTTTTTTCATCCCTTCTTTTGCATGTATAAATTCAGACAAAACAAATAGTTTATTTTTAATTTCATTGTTATTGAAATGTATTAGAAATGTTAATTAACAACAGGGAGACAAAAACACACTGTTTTTTTACTCCACTCTTAATAGCAAGTTGTAGGGAAAAATTAATCGGATTATTTAATTTGAGAAAACAAGTTGATAGTGAATGTAGAAATTAAAAGAACAAAACTTTAAAGCATAAGTAGGTCGCTTTCATCATGTATACGTCGAATAAATATTTGCTCTCCTCTTAGATGCTCATCGATAGCTCTAAAATAATGTACTGCAGTACATCTCCTTATCCCATGATCTCCCCTATACTTCTTTGGGTTCCACTAGAAGTTTTGGGACATGAGGTCATTTAACAGTCTCTTTAGGATGTTTCCAATCTATATTCATTTCTTTTTGGATATCTTTTGGGTGATAGGTTAATATATTTAACTGGTGGATGGTGACTAGCACTGGAATCCAGGATAAGGCGCATTTCGTCCTATTTGGGACTCGTCAGCCAGAAGATGTATTTTGCATTCCCCAGTGAGTGACGATGTTGCCACCGAGGCTCGAACCCAATGCTCATAGTTTCAAACACCACAGTGTTATCCACCCGACCACTTGTGGCACGAGAGCCACCTTTTGTGAAACGGGTCATATCAATTATTTCATTGAATTTTAGATTTTCCCGTCGATTCATTGAACCGAAGTGCTCGGTCTCAGGTTGTGCAAGTGCTTTGACGATGTCTGGGCATGTAGTTAGAATTTAATTGGTGGATGGTGACTAGTAGTGAAATCCAGGATGTGCATTTGGCGTTTGAAACTATGGGCACTGGGTTCGAGCCTCAGTGGGAACATCGTCACTCACTGGGGAATGCAGGTACATCCGCTGGCCGACGAGTCCTAAATAGGATGAAATGCGCAGTCCTGGATTCCACTGCTTGTCACTATACACCGATATAATTCTAACCACTTGCCTAGACATCGTCGAAGCATGTGCACAAGAAGCCGTCATGTCAACCTGAGACCGAGCACTTAGGTTCAATCAATCGACGAGAAAATTTAAAATTCAATTAAATGATTGGTGAATAGTTGATTCGTCGCCAGAGTTCCTCATTAATGCTTCTTTCTGTCCATCTCATTTTCTCTATCGAGATAAGAGGCTAATACAGCATGTTCCCTTTGATCATCTTTGTCATAGCTTCTTTTCAACTGTAGACAGAGTAAAAGTCGAAATACTTGGCCTCCATCAATATGTCGGTTACTAGTATGGATGCTGAATGAAGCTGATTTCCACACTAATTTCAGGGTAATGAAGGTCTGTTTTGATTTTTGGATCCCACCTTTTACGTCCCCATCCATGCTGCTTGTAGCAGTCATGAAGCTCTCTGAGAATGAAAATTGACCTTGTCTAATTCTCCCACTGATGATGATCGGAGTTAGTCATTGTTGGTTGAATATCTCCACCACCTTGTATTTGTTCACTTGAATTTAAGTCTTCACTGACTCTTTTGCGTGCTTACTGGTTGTAGACTATAGCTATTTGAGTCTGTGTGATATTAGACAGAGATCATCTGCGAAGTTCAAACCTTCCAGAGTAATTTCCATCTAGCAACTTCATTAAAAATGAGGATTTACCAATCTAAGTATGATAATTTTCAATTATTAGTTCTGTAGGGATTTTGTTTGATTGGTTGGGAGATTTCATCATAAGCTCAGTCTAAACGCCAGCGAGTGCATAACGCTGAACAGTCCTAATCTAGGAGGAGACAGCTGTCCAGTACTCCCAGCTTTTCCAATGGTTCTCTAACTGATGCTTGCTGATGATGAAATCCTCCAAATAATTATATTAATATTAGATGGTTGGAGGCAATCAGCAGGAAGCCTTGAAACTAGATTTCCTGGTAGTTGGCACTTACCAGCCTGCAAGACGTTTCTGCAATCTTGAAAGAACTCATGTCCCTTCTGAGATTCGAACCCGTGTCACCCAGTGCCGCATTCATAGACTTTACCACCGAGCTATTTGGGCTCGCGAGTGCCAACCAGCACAAACCTAGGTCCAAGGCTTCCAGCCGATTGCCTCCAACCATTTAATATCATCAAATCAATGTGCACCGTGATGACGAGCTACCTAAAATGGTGGCCACATTGGAAACCTGAATGATAGAATTCAGGCTGCACGAAGAAAGGACTAGACACATCGTACTAGTTCCTAGTGTCCAATTGAAGTAATTATGATAAGTTTGTTAGTTGGCGTCAATATATTAACCGTGGTGTTAGTTAATGCAGAAAACTGATTTCACAATCAATCCCTTGAAACGCTTGTAAAACTTAATAGAAGTGATCAAGTAATGCACAATTCATATATTTCTAATTCAATTTTCAATTTGCCTTTGAATAATTAAACCGGACTGTTCAGCCTCTGTTGAAATGCCAGCCGTTAATGAAGATACTTCAACGACGTCTTAGGATTAAATTAAGAAAATTTGGTGAGTGGTGACTAGTACGGGGGATTTAGGATGTGTATTTCGTTCTATTTAGAGCTTATGAGTTGAATGTACCTGGATTCCCCAAAGAGTGGTAGTGTTCTAACTGAAGCTCGTCGCCTGTAAGAACTAACCGCGTATCCAACCCACTATCTTCCAGTTACAAGGCAAGGTTGCAGATCATTTAACCACTGGGACCAGATTGAATGGCCCACGGATTCTAACATATACCAATTCGTCATTTCAACGCTTATGCTTTTTTTCTTACTTCAAACCGGGTGAACCCTACTGGCCATTATTGATGGCAAAAGTAAATTCAGACGTGATGCCTCTTAAGAAGGTATTCAGTTATTGCAAGGCATAGTGACAGCTAATCTAGTGAAGCTTCATGACCTAAATGGTATAACTAATGATACATTTTACTCTTTAAAACCATCAGAATGTAAATTCCCAGATATATGTGGTTTACGGAAAACACATAAACGCAATATTCCCCTACTTTACATATTATCAGTGTGCAGATTCCCAAAACATAAACATGTTAAATAGTTTGTAGAATTATTGGTATCAGCCAAACACAATTCTGTAAGTATGTTTTACAGTTGATCATGGATTATATCAATTAGAGAACCATTGAAAACCAAGAAGTACTAAAAGGCTGCTTCATTCTAGTTTGTGAATCAGTACGGCAGTACGCACCCACTAGGTTTCGAACCTAGCACCTTCCGGTTACAAGGTGTGTGTTAAAGGATACATTTGAATTGATCAACTGTCTTAACGGCAATAATATTATGAATAAAAATATGTATTCCTTTCATGTGTACTCTTTATTTACTAATGTGTCTTTACTTAAAACAGTTGACATTTTGTGTGATTACATTTCCACACACAACGTTTTCATCCCGTTCCCTATATCTTATTTAAGGGATTTATTACTTTTGTGTTCTAGCAATGTTAGGTTTACATTTGAAGGCCACTGTTTCCGCCAGATTGATGGAAGTCCATCAGGAACCCTTTAAGACTATATCTGTTTGCCGTAGATTTAGAGTTTATCGGAGAATCTAATCGAAAAAGGTGCCACTTTATAGAAGGTATGTAGATGACATTGAAATTATAAGCCTTTTAAATCGAATGAATGGAGTTCCGAAAAGCATATCACTTACATCTGTAGAAGACGAAGATAATTGTTTGTCTTTCCTAGATTATTTGCTTGGTCGACCTCCTGATAAATCAATAAAATGATCTATTTATAGGAAACCTACCTGGACACGAAAGTATGTTAACTACCACAGTTTCTGCCCTGTTTGATATCAAAGAGCCTATTCAGCAAAATCAAATGAATTAGCACTGAAGACACACATGATGAGGAAGAAAGAAAGTTGACACAAACTCTGCTTGATAATAACTAACCGAACAAGTTCATAAGGAGATATATGGTAGTCAAAACACCAAAACCTATTCTCCAACTCTCTATTAAGAAAGATGTATATATAGGAAGCTGTCATAAATGGGTGATCAGAGCAACTTAGTAATTCAAAAGATATTGATCTCTGTCGTTAAAAAGACTTCTTATGCAACGAAGATCAGAATAATTGAGAATGCGAAATCGATATATCCATCTTAGCACTTAGAACTTGCGAAAAATTATGTCACATCCCACTGTGTTTAACAATTTGAATGTACGTGTGAACACACATGCATAAGGAGGACTCATCGATATCTGCACGTAAAGGCTTCACAAGCAAATCAAATCCCCAGAACCCATTAATGGTGAGAATAGGAGACTTAGCTCCTTTACTGAGAAACATATTATAGATACAGGACATAAAAGACTATAATGTTCTCAGTAATAAAAACTTACCCAGTTTTACATGGACGAAGTTCAAGTGTATTGCCTGCACACTTGCCTAAACCAGTAGTTTCATTAACTGGCACACGACACCTTCGTTTACGACTTGTCCAGCCTTGACCACCGCATAAAGGAGCTGAACATGTTGTCCATGATTCCCATGGAAGCCTAATAAAACAAAAGATGACAATACACGGTATTTTATATATTCTGATGTATATATATGTATATATGTTAGAGTATCGAAGTAATATTGTCACATTTTCGACAAATGCTACTTCCACTTTTACAGCTATATCTGACTTCTAAAGTATTTAAATTCCAAGGTAAAATAAAAGGACCAACTTGGGAGTCGCTGTGGCGTCTAAGACAAGAAGTGAGGTATATAAGAGAATTTTTGAAACTTAATAATTTCCCTAAAACATTATTCAGGAAATAGGCAAGAAATACAAAAACGAAGTAGTTAATAATTATATATTAGTAATAGTGATAATAGTAATAATGAGGATATGCATAACAAACATGCAAAGAATGATGACATCATAAACAGCAAAGAATTTAAATCATCAGTTGCACTTTGATACATAGAAGAAATTCAAGTGTTGGTTTGTAGGGATTTGATTGGTTACAGGATTTCATTATGAGCTGACATTGGTTAGAGAACCACTGGAAAACCTGCCAGGGAGTACTGGACAGCTGTTTCGTCCTGGTTTGGAACTCTTCAGCAGTACGCACCCACCGGGGTTCGAACCCAGGACCGTCTGGTTACAAGGCGAGCTCGTATACCATTAAGTCACTGGGACCCAATCCAATGGCCCATGAATTCTAACTTCTGCCAATTCACGACATAGCGCGACCCCTAGCCAATGTCTCCGGTGAGTATTTGTCTTCACACCCGACCTGCTGCACCCTACTGGTCACGACTTCCCAATGGAACCCCAGGTAACTACCTACCTGAATAGGGCCAGTAGCCAGTGAGCATCTCATTCATATTCAAGTATTGGTTTGTAGGGATTTGATTTGAAGAAAGCTCTGAGACCTTACGTAGAACTTTTAACTAGACAGGAATAAAAGTGGCTGGCATTCAAACATCCCACAAACTCAATAACAAACAAGCGTTGATGGTTAAAGAATCCAGCCTGTGAGGTCAATAAAACAAAACAATTTAGTTTATCTATTACCCTGCCTGCAATGATTGTCAGGTCATATACATAGGTCAAAGAGGTAG